TGTGTGCAATGTTTGTGAGACTTCACGTAGCTATGTCGCATTGAGTGGGTCACGAGCAATTGCTTGCTCAACTGACCAACAACTGATATCTTTTTCGTGTGCACCCCAATGCTTCCGCATTACCGCCTCTGCTGCAATTCAGGCGTGACGCTGCTGCCGTTCATGGACGAGGACGTGCTGTTGACTGCGCTTGATCGCGTGTACCCGTCACTGACGGGAGAGGAGGCGCACAGAAACGCGTTTGGCCACGACTTGCTCTTCCTCTCAAAGTCCTCACAGGCCTTGCAGGACCACAAACACCTGACTGCCTTGGTGCGTGAGATGTGGTTCGGTGTGTGTGTGTGTATGTGTGGTGTGGACAAGGTGTGTTTGTGTGGTGTGTCATGAGTGTGAGTGTGTGTGTGTGTGTGTCATTGTGTACGTGTGTACGGTGTACGTGTGCGTGCTTGTGCGTGTGGTGATGTGAACTGCCACGCTGCCGATATTCCGCGTTCGTGGGTTCTTTCCCTTGACCGCATTCCACGCCCGATGCTGTGTGCAACGCTACAGGGCACCGGTGATGCTGAAGAACCAAGCACGGCGAACAAGGAGAAAGGCAAGCAAGAAGCGGAGAAGGGCGAGAGCGACAGCGGCCGGCGGCGGGAGGAGCTGCCACCGCCGCTGGTGCAGGGCGCCGTGTTTGCTGTCGATGAGACCGTCAAGACGGACAAGGACAACTGGTGTGCTGGTTTTCGTAGCGGATATCAACACAACGATGCTGGCGCCTTTGCGCGCCCAACATTTAAAGGTGCGTTGCTGCCAATGTGTGGTGAAGCTGCCAAGCGAAAGGTATTGCACATGCACACCTCTCAAACGTACCTGCACGAACGCAATGCATGTACAAGCGCGCGCACACTCTCTCTCTTTCAATCATACACACACATACACACGCACACTCGCACACACATCCGCACACATACACACGCACATTCACACACGCACATTCACACCCACACCCACATTCATTCACGCACGCACAACCACACCCACACACACACACTCACTCTCTCTCAACGACAGACGTGAAGCGGTCTGTGAGTGTGGCGGCACTCGCGCGGTCGCGCGGGCAGATGATTGGGCTGCGGCGCGGCCGGCAGCGGACGCAAGTACGGGGCTCGTCCCTGGCGATGGGGATGGGCCTCAAGGGTGCGGGCCGTGGGGGCGCGTTCATCGGCGAAGGCACGCCAACACGCGACAAAAGCAGCGGCGGCGGCAGCAGCAGCGACGCACCGCACCGTGGTGGCGGCGGCCGCGGTGGCAGGAACAGGGGTCGAGGGAGAGGAAGAGGGAGAGGACGGGGACGAGGACGAGGAAGGCGTGGTGGCGGACGGCGAAGGAGATGATGTTGATGATGGGTGGTGGTGGTGGTGGTGGTGACGTGACATCGTGCTTGCTTGCTTGCTTGCTTCTTGCTTCTTGCTTTGTGTGTGAACAATAACAAAGGCTGAATTCAGTTTGATGAGTCATAGAAGTTGTGTGTCACGCTGGCGGAACAAGCGCATTCATCGCACACAAGCAAACACCATTCCACACAGCAAACACCACACCACAGCACACTCGACGATACACCCGGCCACCACCCAAACTCGACCTGACGGGTGCTGTCATGAGCGAGCCGAAGAAGCAAAGGCCGCACCCCGCTCCTCGCCAGCGGAATGTGGTCATCAGATGCCGGGAAGGAAAGAAGCTCGAGTTCCCCGAGCGCGTTTGCCGGTCAGACCTTGTTGTTGTTTGTCGTCTGCTGTGGTTTGTTGCGGGTGAGTGTTGTTGTTGCACCACCGGCTTGCACCTTTGCTCGCACCGCCTGATGAAGAATGCAAATGTAAACAAACCAACCTCACCTCGTCTTCCCGCCTTTGTATGTGTCATGAGGGACCGCCAGCGACTCGATCAAGCTGATGGAGCTCATCGCCCATGCTCCCTCGCCTCCCGAGTACGATTGCTCTGTGTGTGTGTGTGTGTGTGCGCGTGCGCGTGTTTGATGTGTGTGTGTGTGTGTGTGTTTGCTCTGTTTGTGTGTGTGTGTGTGTGTTTGATGTGTGTGTATGTATGTGTGTGTTTGATGTGTGTGTATGGTGCTTTCGTGTCTGTGTACCGAGTGCGTGCTTGTCATATCATGCACAGGTGTATGTACGTTGGTGTGCCTACACGAGCGCCGTGTCCGTTGTTTTCTCCACCACAATGGCGCAGATCAACGGAGGCTCACATCCCTAGAGCGTTGTTGTGTAATGCAGGCAGCACACCGCTGTGGAAGTGAGCGTGGATCTGCCGGCCATTGGCGTGGAAGCCATCATGTTGCTCTTGGCCCACCACGCTGGTGGAGGGCGTGAAGCCATGTCTGACCCACAGGCCGAACGCAACGCATGGAAGAGCTACTTGCATGGCCAAGACCTCTTTCGCATCATTGACGCCGCCTTCTACCTCGAGGTTGGCGTGCATGTGTGTATCTGTGTTTGTGTTTATGTTTGCGTGCATCTGTGTTTGTGCGTTTGTGTGTGTATTTGTGTGTATCTGTGAGTGTGTGTGTATGTGTGTGTGTGTATCTGTGTGTGTATGTGTGTGTGTGTGTTTATGTATCTGTATGTTTGTGTGTGTGTGTGTGGGGGGGGGCTCATCTCTATGCCTGTACGTTGCTGTGCTTTCATGTTGATTTTATCTTTGGGGCGTCTGTCAACCGTACTGTAAGCGTGTGTAAGCGTGTGTAACCCCTTCTCTCCTTGTTCCCTCCTCTCTTGGTCGTGTCCGTGAGCACACACGCATGACTCACGGTGTTGCTGCTGTCACCGAGTGCCATCAATCCTCCCTGCTGACACATCCAAACGCACGCAATCGACGCCCACACCCACATTTCACCATCACTCATATTCCGCACACGCAACTGCCCACAGGTGACGCACCGAGAACAGCTCCGGTGCTTCGTCAAGGAGATTCTCGCTGATGCCGGCAAAGACACAGGTGCGCATCCGGCGAGCCTCACCTGCCCCCCCCCTTCCCCTACTCCTTGGATGCATGCATGCATGCAATGCACGCTGCACGTCGCATAGGATTGCAGTGTGCTGTTGTGAACACGCGACTAACCACGACGACACACCCATCTCACCATCGTCCCCCCCCCCCCGGCTTTCCTCTCAAATCCAAATGGGGGGAAACAGAGGCGCTGCGAAAAGCGCTCGGTGTTGTTGTGTCGAGCGGGCGAGACCCCGCCATCAAAGTGGACCTGGACACCATTAACCAGGCCGCCCTCAAGTACACCAAGGTGAGCCAAGCAGCAGGGAGATGGGTGGGTTGCGAGTGCGGGCTGTGAAGGAGCCAGATGCATGCGTCGTTGGTGGGATATGCTGAAAGCAATATGGGGCTGCTCACCTGTATTTGCCTACACCTCAACTGTTGCTTTGCTGTTCTTGTGTGTGTGTGTGTGTATGTGTGTGATTGTGCATGTGTGTGTGTGTGTGTGTGTGTGTGTGTGTGTGTGTGTGTGTGTGTGTGTGTGTGTGTGTGTGTGTGTGTGTGTGTGTGTGTGTCAGACGGCACCGCAGTGCGCAAAGTGCGGCTTCATCTTCTCGCTCTTCAGCCGCCGCCACCACTGCCGCCGCTGTATTGAAGTGAGCGCCTGTCTGTGTTGTTTTTCTCCACCACATGCCAAATGCTTGCCTTGTGATCGCCTCCGTCCTGTGTTGTTGTTGTTGTTTGCCTGTTGTGTGCGTGCTGCTTGATGCCACAAGCAAACTGACTCAGCACACGTGTGTTGACACATTGACACGACCATGTTGATGCTTGCTTTCTCCAGGCCGTCTGTCACGCTTGCTCAACCCGCAAGATCCCGTTCAGGCCAAGCTACCTTCAGGTGTGTGTGTGTGTGTGTGTTTCTTTGTTTGTGAGTGAGTGTGTGTGTGTGTGTTTCTTTGTGCTTGTATGCGTGTGCTTGTGCTTGTGTGCTTACATGTATGTGTATGTGTGTGTGTGTGTAATCATGCTTGTGCTGCACCCTCCTCACCCGTCCTCCCAACGCCCACGAATGGCCCTCCATTCACCCCATGCCCCTCCCAACCCGTGTCGTAACGGAGACAGAGTGTGAACGAGAAGCTCGACATTCAGTTTTCCACTGCCGCTTTCCACGACTACACAGGTGCACGCCTCCTTGTGATGAGCTTGATGGCTGTGCTTCGTTGCTCCCCTCACTCTGCACCATCCTTGTCCGCTCACACCCTGCACATGTGTTGTGCGCTGTGTCTCTTCACCTTGCAGTGGGGATGTTCAAGACTGAGACGCTTGGCCGCGTGTGCGACGCCTGTCATCAAGAATACCGAGAGGGTGCGTGTTTGTGTGCAAGAAGAGAGATGTTGTTGAAGACATAGCTGTGTCACTTGACACACGCGCTCAGGCACTTTTCCCACGCGTACATGCATATATCCACGCACACACTCACGCACATACACTCACACACACACTCACACACACACACACACACACACACACACACACACACACACACACACACACACACACACACACACACACACACACACAAACTCTCTCGCTCTCACGATGGGTTTTCATCGTTCCACAGCGACTGGGCAACCTGACACGTGCAAGGAGGTCATACGTGGGATGCAGTTGTGCGAACTCGACATTCTACAACTCCAGACGCTGCTCCCCGTACGTGTACCACGAACACGTGTGTGCATGTGCATGTGCATGTGGCAATGTCATGCGATCAAGCAGTTGATGCCTTTTCATGCTCGCGCCATTATCTCGCCATATTTGCTGCTTCTTTGTGTTCACATACGCATACACATACACATACACACATACATACATACACATACACATACAAACACATACATGCCCACACGCATACACACACATACACACACACACATACATACATACACACATACACACATACACACACACCACGTGCAAACAGGTGAGCAGCACCATCGAAGTGAATGCGCGGTTCC